GCCGCCAACCATGTCAACAGTCTATTAACTAGACACAGCCAGCATAGAACCATGGAGATCAGCAGATAAGCAAGATTCATCGCAACATAATCACCGTGGCATGCTAGTTGAAGGTGAGCAACACACTTCAACTAATATGCCGCAGGAAGAATGGAATATTTGGACAAAAAGTAGTACAAAACATTTTTAGCTTGTTTTTCACACGCCGTTTTTGCTCTTTTTTGTCATTTTAATTTTTGTAGTATTAAACATGTGAATCAATACGATACTGTACACAATTATTCCACTGATTCCGGTTGCGGGCCATATCTTCAAGAGTGCTAAGCCATTGGCACTCCTCATCATTGGGTCCCAATCCTGGAAGACGTACGGGTCCAACAGCGGCTAGACACGACATCGGCGATTTCATGTGCTGCCGCCAAGTGGAAGGCTGACAACCACGTGGTCGCCTCCAGCCAGATCCTTGACGAGCGAATAGAGCGCGACGCGGTAGACGCTCAGGTGCCATGCACAGGACGTAACCGAGCCATCTCAACTGGCGCAACAAAACCAGTTTGTTGAAGGAAATACTCGCATTCCCCAAGATGCGACGTCGAACGTCGCATCTTGTAAATCGATGTTGCAACCACACACGATCGATCCTCCTTAAGCAACCGTTATCGAAGGCAGAAAGCCCGGTGTGATCTTGGTAACCATAACAGAAACGGGTTTCATGTTGGGCATTCGCAGTTCCATGTGTATCTCGATGTCCGGGTACCAACTACGCTCGAACATGTTTCGTATAAATCTCAGCTCATCTAAAAGTGCATCTACCGTGTACTCGGATGTCCCACACGAGCGGTCAGATGCCGCCTACTGTCGACATCAGAAGCAACCCCAATCCGGCACAGAAAAATTCATCCAGGCTCTCTTCACCTTGGCCACAGGCCAGCCCGAATACCAATGGCGATCAAGCCACTTCACCTGACTTCACAGTAACCAGAACAATCATGTAACTTTATCGAGTGGACACTTTGATTTAGTGATTCCCTGCGGTTAAACCTTGTGTATCCATTTTAGTCTGCTTGCTTGTGGTTGATGATGATCCACTAAAAAACACGTGTTCGCTACATTGGTTTCTGACATATAAATATATATACAAATATAAATATAAACATAAACGTTCCAAGAAGTGCATATAGAGACATCGGAAATAACATGGAAATCAAAGGAAGTACAAATTGATCGAAAATAAAACGCAATTTTTTATTTACCACACAAACGCTTTTCAGTTTAGAGGCTTAAAACATGTGGACCGTCACAATACTTTACACAGCTCTTCCAATGATACCGGTTGCGGACCGCCCTCAAGCGTGTCAAGCTACTGGAATTCCTCAACCTTGGGTCCTTATGCTCCCACGACAGGATGTCTCCGCATGCGAAGTTAAAGAGGAATAGAGACATAGGAGAAATCTGTGGAACCATGCTATTGACAGCAAAGGACGAGAGAAGCTTGCCGTAGACTCTCTATCTGCAGGAGTTATGAGGGTAAAGAGCCGATATGATGACAGTATTTTGCTCTCGGACGCGGTTCTTTCATCGTCATCATCAATACCTGTCGCAGAGTGATTATGTGGTCCATACAGCGCATCCTGGGTGGAACCCGCTTGTTATCCCTAAATCTGAAATCCCCGTTCCAAGGCGGTGAAAGATAATAGAGGTCAGCAATTTTGTCACCATATGCGCTAGGCTAATAGATTTGTAGTTAGCAGAGTCAATGCGACTGCCCTTCTAATACATTACTACTGTGATTAATACACTAGTTAGCTGGAATGGTCTCTTCCTTCCAGACTTGTTCGAACAGGGAGGTCAGTACTGTGTAGAGTATTTCGCCACCATCCTTATGGGGTGCGAGTGCGAGGGTATTCGAGCCAATAGCTGGAAAACGACGAACCGTTATCGTGCTTGAGGATCTCAGTCTCCAATGGGGCCTCTAAAGCAAGCGACCATGCCTCAACCTGCACCACCTGAGTAGAAAAAGGGCCAGGAGCGATGGGCCAACTTAATTGCTCTCGAAAGTGCTCCACCCACAGGGCATATGGTGCTGCTCATTGTGAACCAGGGCCCCCGCATTGTCTCTGATTGTCACACTGATGCCTGGTTTCCTGGGACAAGTGATGTGGATCTATTGAAAGAGCTTGTGATAATTGCCTTCTCCATTTCATGAATCCGACTGGGTGCACCACGCTTTCTCGTCAGCGAGCAGGCTCGGTTTTAATTCGCGCCTAATAGTCCGCCAAGTTACACTGTGCTCAGAGTCGGCCATGAGTATTCTTCTAGATTCCAAGATTCACCGGCCTCTCCTAGTGCGGTAACGGCTGGTAGTACCGCAAGCAGAGTTTCCGCGTCGTGCATGGCAGCCGAGATTCTATCTCACTGAAGTTCAGTATTCCTAGGGCGAGATAAAGTTCAGTACACAGGACATGCTGGTATGATTGCCTGGCTGAGGAAAGAAATAACATATTCGTTGTCAATCGAGGGAGGTAAAGTTCATGGAAAAACGACAGCATGATCAGAGTCGACGCGGCACCCTAGAACGTGCGGCAGTCAAGGATGGAGCCATGCCATTTGCAATTTATGATAACGAACCATTTGGGTTCATCGGTGGCCAGCTATAGAGGGAGAGGGGCGTTAGGTAGCACTCTGAAGCCTAAAAGCGGTGCAACTAAGAAACAGGCAGTGCTTGGCGGGCATTTGCAACAGACATTCGCCGTTTTCGGTGCGGTTAGGGTTAGGATCAGCCTCTAACGAGCCCAGACGACCTAGCTGCGTATTCATATACCCTACAACAACAATATCTGAACTGGTAACACTGCGGAGCAGTGTGCGCAGTTCGTGGTAGGCGTCCTCGACAGCAGCAGAACCGGTCGATGGGTACAAAAGCCGCAACCACAAACAAAGCGCCTATCGCTACTTCGTGAATCAGCCT